TGCTGTGCCGGGGGGAATCTACTGAGAGCATCAGCATGGGGAATCGATAATCCTTTTCTATATTCAACTCTATAATTGTATTCGTTCAATTTCATAAACCAAGTGATAGCACAACTGCTGTCACTTTGACGTTGCCTGCTTAGATAGGTGATCGGGATATGATCGGTTCTGATCACAAATTTGTGCCCCCACAGGTATGATCTAAATTGCTGTACCCCATAATATACTGCTAAAAGTTCACGGTCAGTATTTGAATAAGGCAATTCTGCATCATTAAGCGTTCTCGAGGTACATCCAATTAATATTTCCTTCCCACCTGGTTTCTGAGTCAAAACTGCGCTTATTGCAATTGCCGAGGCATCCGTTGTTAATATAAACTCATGATTGAAATCAGGGTAAGATAAAATTGGTGCCTTCATTAAGCAAGATTTTAACAACTCTACTGCATTCTGTTGTTCTTTTGTCCATTTAGATGGAGTATCCTTTTGCAGTAAGCATATACAGAGGTTTTGCTTTTAAGGCAACATTTTGGATATATGATCAAAAATATCCAACAAGGCCTAAAAAGGCTTGAATACCCTTCACGTCCTTGGGTATAGGGAAATTTTTGATCGCTTTGATTTTGACTGGATTAACACGGATCCCTTCCTCACTGATAAAAAATCAAGATGCATTAGTCTCTGGAATATTGAAGGACTATTTTTTAACCCCATAGGCAATCAAATGAATTCGTAATGACCCATTGGGGTCAAGAAGGCTGTTTTATGCCTTTCTTCTTCTCGAATCTTTAAATAGTAAAACCCATGAAGCAAATCTAATGCTGTAAAATATTTGCAATTTCCCAATTCTTCAAAGATCTGACTAATCCTTGGTAAGGGGTGAGGATCCATGATAACATGGTCATTTAAACGTCAAAAATCGACGACCATTCTCCACCCTTCGTCTTTCTTCCTTACCATCAGCGTAGGGCTGTTATAAGGAGAGGTGGAAGGACGCACTACTTCTTGATTCAAAAGGTCCTCAGTATATTTTGCAGCCAATTTCCTCATTTTGAATGGCTGGGGATACTGTCGCGTATAAATTGGACTTGTAGTGTCAAGAGGGATATCTGCCTCATATAACTCACACAGACCTAAGTGATTTGATTTCTTAGCTAAAACATTCTTGTATATAAACAAAAGGTTCCGCAATTTATGAATTAAATGAGGGGGACATTCTGAGGTCTTAATATTCTCCTCGACAAGTTGTTTTAAATCCTTTTCCTCTAATTTTCCATGAATAAGTTCTTGGTTCGCTTTTTTATCCCGCGAGGCAAGATTATTCACTAAATTCCGACAATCATCTTGGTTTGGTGGTACATACCACAAATCACAAGTTCCCATCGCGAGTGTTAAACGCTGGCTGATTTCAGCATCTTCGTCTCCTAAATTCAGACACAATACTGGATACTTCCCGTTGACTGGGGCGGATAAACTTTGTGCGACAATTATGTTGCCACAGAAATTCTTCAGGACTAGAACTGTCTTGTTTTTTAAGTGTTCCCTTGCCCCTTTAGCTGGGATAGTCCAGATGACAAACTGAGACAACGCCGGGATCATTTGACACGCAACAGGATATAATCGCACAGTTTTGTCAATATTGTTAGGTTTCCACTTTTTTCCAAGTTTTAGAAAAGGTTTAGGAGTCTCTTCTGCCAAGAAGAAAATACGTGCTTCATTTAAATAAACACATTTTTCTGCGTAATCTATCGAGGCTCACAGTTTCTTTAACAAATTGCATCCAATTATACCCTCAAACTCTTGATTGCGTACTTCAGTAACCAATAAATTTGCAGTAGTGAGTATACGATTGTTATGCAGAATATCTGAAGAGACAATCCCCAGTATGGGGATCTCCCTACCTTCTATTGTAGAAATTGTTAAAGAAGATTCCATTGGAATAATTTCAGGTCTTAAAACTGTTAAAGATATCAGAGAAATTTCAGACCCAGAGTCAACAAGAAATTTACAAGGAAAAATGGAAACATTTGGGGTCAACAATATTACCGGAAGTTTTGGGGACTTACTTGAAACTCCGGTCAATACTCGTTTCCCGAGTATGACGTTGTCGTTGACGGTTCCTCGTAGTACCCTTCAGGCAACCATTCCTCTTCTGGTTCCTGGTACTCTTGGTAGTCATCTTGGTACTCTTCTTCTGCGTAGTCATCATCCTCGGCAGCTGCAGAGACAAAATTTATCCTCCTTCCTTGGGTTTTGCTGGATCCTCTAGCACCTCTTCCACAATAAGAAGAGCAACCTCTACGCATTCCACTATTGCGGAGGATTCCACGGGTCGGACGCGCGTTTTCTGGCGCAAAGTATATCAATTTGCGCTTCGGCACTTGTGGGTCTTTTTCTCAAATCACCAAACACTCGCTTCTAAAATGACCTTTCTGCCCACACCCGTAGCAGGTCGTTGAGCAACGTAGGTCACCAGGAGCATTAGCGGTCAAGCTGGCCGAATATGGGGAGGGGGCTTGCTCATTGGTGTACGCCGATTTTTTGTTGTAATGCGATGATAAATTGTTTAGGGTCAAGTCATTAATTCCTCTTTCTAGTAAATCCGAATTCCTTTCTTCTACAGATATTGCTAGAGCTACTGAGGCTTCAAACGTGGAAGGAGTGGCTATTATTTTTCTGCCAATAGATGGCTTTAATCCATCGATAAAAGCAGTTAATAAAAATCCATCTAACATATTTTTCTTCGCCTGATATTCCCATTTTTCTTGAACAAAGAAAGGATTTTCTAGCAAGGCATCTGGTTGATTTTCTCTTCTGACTACTTTTAATTTGCCAGGGGCTTCTCCAACTTTGAACTTCCCTTGCTTGCGAACTCTAGTACCAAAATTGTTTACAGATTCCGTTGCTCCATGAGACATCTTGAAAAGATCTCTCATTCTTTTCTGGGGAACAACTTTTCTGTATCTATCCTGCAGAGTTTTTACTATAATTCTATAGTTGGCTGATTCTAAACCGTCAATGGAGGTAATGTACTCAAATGCTTGCCCTTTTAATTTATTCATCAAATTAGAACGAATACCTTCGTCGGTGTACACTCCATTGTATAAGGCTCCTTGAAACCTTATCCACCATTCACTCCAAAGGTCCTTCCCTTCTCCGTCGAAGGGAGGAACCTGGCTCATTGCAATACTAGCTTGTTGTATCGGCAATGAAGGACCTCTTAGTTTTTTGGATTTTTCCATGTCGTAGAACATTAATTCGTCAGCTGTTGGGTCAGTAACTTGATCAATTGACAGCTCCTGATTAAATAGGGCTTGTCTTATCCCCAAAGCATCTGCAAGTTGTTGCTTTTTCTGCTTTATCTCCTCTTTTAGCTGCCGAGACATTAACAAAAGTTGGGTGTTGTCTATTGCTTTAGAATGCATGTCTATTTCTTCCAGATTAGTTTCCAGACTAGCTATTATTGCTTTGCTAGTTTCTAGAGGACCTTCTTGGGCTTTCAAAAGCGCTAGACGAGCATTTACAGCTGTTCGCCTTTTGGCAGAGGGAGGCTTGGCAGCGTTCGTTAATTCTGCTTCTAACTTTGCTATCTCTTCTTCACATTCTCGCTGTTGGCATTTAGCCACTTCAGCTTGTTCTTTAGGGGGCAAGTTAATGAAACGACTATTTAGTTCTTCCGTTGTGTCCATCACTTTCAAGATATCCAATGCCGATACTCTAACACTTGTATTCATGCTGGCAAAATATTCACTGCACAGAATTTACCTAGAGCACTTGGTCAAATCTGAAAGAACACGTCACTGGGACTGTTCTCGGATTTTTGCTCTTCTGAGTCACTTTCTCTGAGTCGCAAACTTTTCACTTTAACTCTGTTTTCAAACAGGTGTTGCGTTTTACTCTAGTGTACTCACCCGGGTCAAAAAAGGAAAATCCAACTGCGCCAAATCTGTTGTCGGAACTAGTTAAATTTGATGGTTACAATCTATTAGTTTAAACGTCTTCAAACCTCTGATTGTATAAACTCACGGTCGTAAGCTTTAGTTTAACTAACTCCATGTTAAATAACACTCCTCTAAAAGAATAAGGACAACGGCCCAAACCATTTAGTTATTGAGGAGTTTATGTTTTATTCACTGTCGAAATAAAACATAAGTTGTGCAAGTACGTATCCAGAGAACGTCTCGAAAGCAATGAGCGCGCAATAAAGCAAAGGCAAGTAACTATATAGATTTGGCTGGTCAGTGTGTCGCAATTGTGGTCAGACCCGGATCTGACCTCATTCGGGGAAGGGTTGCGTAACCTTCGGCGCGTGACTTGGCGAGGCGGCACGCAGCAAGGGCGTGACACAGCAAGAGGCAACGCAGCTGTTTGGAGCGTCGTCTGCTGGGTTAAAGAGAACATCGGAGCTATCATGACAAACTTCAAATAAGTTTAACAGATTTCATTGCTACTTTTGATAAATTCATTATGCTGAAGAAAATTTCCCTTGGGCCAGCAATAAACTTCTGTGGATCCAGTCCACAGACCACTGGTTGGTAAGACTGTATTGAACATTAAAATAAAGACCTCTTTCACAGTGACATCAACTACCTAGCTATGAAAAGTTTTCCTAAGAAATCAAATGCGCAGTAGCTCAAAACAAAATATAAGGCAAAACTTTCCAAGATCCTTTCCACTTCCTAATTGCATTGAAAATTTTGCAAGGGCTATTTAAATACATGCAATAAAATTACATATAATCTACATGCTATTGTATTTATTATTCCTCTGTTTTCCCCTTTTTATGTGCTCCAGCAGAGTCAATGAATACCACAGAATGTCTCCACCTTCCTTTAATCTGGGAAATGTCGACAATAAGTGCACACTGGAAAAGGTCGCACAAAATACCCCTTCCCTCCATGCAGCAACCACCCCCAGGAGAGGAAGCTAATGTTGGTTGATTAAAACCCGCTCACAAACAAGAATGTGACAAAGGTTTCCTCTATAACTCAGGCTCCCCTCATGACGTCATCAGAAACGACTGCTGAGCAAATCAATCTGCTTGTCTCCTCAGCAGACATGTGCCACGTGGCAGTGGTTTTTCAACCCCCACGCCCCCTCCCCCCTGGTGCTTGATCTGTGCACACAGCAGAAATGCACCCTGTTCCTAACTTACAAACCCCTGCTGCCCCCTCACAAACTAGAATAATCTGCTGCTGAGGGGTGGGTGTCAGATTTGCAAAGTTTTGTTGTGGTGGGGTGTGAGTCATTGAGCCCTATTCTGGGAAGGATGTGCAGTACTGTATGTTCCTTCCCAGTTATGTGAAAAAAATGTGATATCAACAATTATTTTTTTTATAAATATGCATTACATTCTACAGTTCTGAATAAGAGTGAAATGCTGTTACAACAAATTAGCATATTAAATTGAGTAACACATGCATCTTTTTTCTAAAACTTTGAATTGCATTGAATTGAACTGCAAGCTTTATTTTCCACTTTTCAGCATTCACAAGGTTCAAGCAACATTCCTGCACCCAAAACCCCCTCCCCACGTGAATTAATCCAAACACATTCCATCACATCAGAATAGAAAACAGAGAAATATACCTCAATATTTCCAGGGAGAAAAGGTGATGCACATCATAGAATGGTAAATAAAAACAATCTTGGAGGTTTAGGCATGCATTATACAGTGACCCCCCGCCTAACAGACTTCCCCTGTAAGGGATTTTCACCAAACAGACCAGCTCTGCAAGCAGTTTTTCCTCCCACCCAACAGACAAAATCTGCCAAAAAAACTTCTTTTGGTTTAATTATGTAATTGAATTCATGTAAAGGACTTTTTGTCTAACAGACTCATCCCTTGCATGAATCAAGTCCGTTAGACGGGGGTTGACTGTATTTGATTCTAATGGAAAATTTTTGCCCAATTTCAATAGAAAATATACTGCATTAGAAATAATTGAAAATCAGTTGCATTCAGGAGCAAATCATATCTAGATCAAACTTTGGGTGTACTGTAATTATTTTGGAAAACTTGCAGTTTTAGAGTTCATAAAGATAGGGTGCCCGTCAAACTAGGGGATGGAAAATTGTTGATAAATCCTGGTTCATTTCTCACTTGAGGGCATGTGGTACTTGAGTAAATTCAGTATTGTTCACACACACAAATTCTGAGGTCCATGTGAAATAGCCATTGAGTTATTCTAGCTCTGAAATAACCAAAGTTTTGGCAGTACAATTTCATCACATCACACTCTCACAGACTTCAGAAAAAGTGTGTTATACTGATAAATTTGTTTGAAAAAAATCTTTTCAAACTGAATGACTTTGAAACATTTTAAAAATTAGACGGCTATGTTTAGTGTTTTGCTTCTCTGTTATGTTTAGATTTATTACATCATTGCTTTGAATATATTTCTGAAAATGTTTTGTAAAATGTTATTTTTACACACAAAAAATAGAGCTCATGGAGTTTTCAAGCCATTGTTGCAAAAGAACACGTTGTACATATAGTTATCTAACTCTTGGCAGAGCTTTCGAATATTTTGCTGACTCGGAATAAATAAATAAATCTTGAAAAAAAATTAAATTACCTCATCATCACGCATAGAATAACTTGATGGCTTTTTAAAACTTTTTATCGTCACAATTTCCATGACTGTGAAGCTTAGCACACAAATCCTACGCTAATATTATGTCTAAAAATGGTACAATGTATTCTCCGATTGAAAAAAACTGGAATTTTGAAAAAAAATTATTCCCCCTATCAAGGAATGAAACTGTAGGCACTATATTTTCGCCAAAATTTTTTTTACATGTCGTGAGTTGCAAAAAGTAAATCTTCGTCTGAAAATGAGTGACGCCTAATTCTGTCTGCATGTAGAGAAAGCATTTAAAATATTCACGCCTCAAAGAGAACGTGGAAAACATTGTTCCCACATCACCATAATTAATGATGACTCATCAGTCCACTTTTAATCGACGATGAATAATCGGAAATTGTCTTTCCCACTGTCAATTGCCTTTTTTCCTCATTTATTGTATCAATTATTGATTTGCTTCTCCGAGTAAAAAAAAGGAAGAAGAAAGAGTTACAATAAAAGTCTGCTTTGAATTTGCATCAAATTTTTCTCTTCAATTCGTGAGGTGCAAAAATCATGTTCGTCTGAAAATGAGTTGCGTCTTATACTCGAATAAATAATACCGGATAAAAAATTTCGCACACCAAAGAAATCGTGAAAAACATTGTTACAACACCAGTGATGACTCAGTCTGTCTTAAACTCTTAATTGACAAAATAAAACTGGAATAGTTTTCTGCACTGTTAATTTCTTCTCTCCCCACCTCTTAAATCGATTATTGATTCATTTCTCCAGATAAAAAAATAGTTACAATAAAAGTTCTTCGTCTAGAATTTGCATCAATATTTTTCCTTCAATTCGTGAAGCACCAAAAATATACACGTTCGTTTCAAAATGAGTGGTGTCATGAATAGTGAAATTACCTCTAAAAAGTTCGCACATAAAAAAAAAAGCGTGACAAACATTATTGTTCCAACACCAGCACTGATGACTCAGTCCAGTTTTTAATTTACGAAAAAAAAAAATTGGAAATTATCTCATCGTCCACCGTCGATTGCTGCTTTCCCCACCTCCCGAATCGATTATTGATCACTGAATGCACCGCATCGTAAATAAGATGTGGGGTTGGTTTCAACACTGTCTGGTGACTCACGCTCGTTTCAGAATTATATAGCATACATTGACTGAATATGGGGTGAATCAATTCGGCGAGCAAAGGGGGGGACCACACGGTGATCCACTTTCTCCCCCACCCCCAACTGTGCAATTTGCTGCTGACGTGGCAAAATATCCAGCACACGAGGGTATGAATCATCCAATTCCTTATCTTAGTCACGCAGGAACGAATGAATGGCGTGAAACGAAATGATGTGAATTGAGCTCTGAGGAACTTGACGCGTGCCGAGGTGGAAAACGTCATTTTATCGGGATTCGGAGGAAAAGGAAAGAGACGAAGGAGTCTAGCGACACCTAGTTGATTCGATGGAACTTTCCTGTCGATCCGATGATGCGCAGATGTCTACTCATGAGTCGGTAGGGTTGTTGGATCATGACTTCATTTATATTGCATATGATAAAGCTCAAAATTGAGTTACCGACCTTCAGATAATTATAGAATTGTAACGAGTTTATTCAAAAATGACTTATTCGCAAATGTAAAATAAAATTCAGCCTATCTGAAGAAACATGAGTTTTCAAAAGTTCGTATACATCATTCATCAAGATGAAATGTATCAACAGGTAATCTGCAGTTACACCTTCGAAGTAAAGTATATAGACATGAGCAGGTAAATTGGTTTTGTGTGACGTAATCATCGTCGTGCTTTTACAGAAAATCATTTGAGTGTGATGTTCCCATGCAATTCTCAAACCTTTTTTTTAAACAACATCCAGAAAGGAAAGTAATCTTCGTATGATTCGGAAAGTTTTACAAAACGAAGACGATGGAAACTTATTCATAATCTATGGATTAATATTACAGGTACTGTATACATCAGTGAGTAGAGTACAGTATTGGAATAATTACTCGCATGAGATGCGTTACCTGAGTATTCCTGAGATACCACGCTCTTGTCATATCATGAAGCTCACATAGATGTCGCATGAAGTACAAATTTACTCCCATGAAACGGCAAACAAGGGACCATAAAAGTATACTGCAGTAGAACATTGCCATGAGTTCTTCTAATGAATTACAGTGGACTAGGTTTCTTCACAAAACTGTACACGCAGAAAAACACATTTCTATTTCAACTTTGATCAATGAAAAAATCATCGTGGAATGAGTTTATGATCAATCGATTTAGATGATAAAAATGATCATGTTCGATTTCGTACAAATACTGCTCGTCATTAACATGCAAGGCATTCTCAATAAATTCACAAATCAATCAATCTTGATTGTTAACATTCATCATCACACAAAATCGAATCTACGCAATAGTAAGAAAGTTAGAACAAATGTTAGCAACTCGTGTCACGTTTTCTAATTTCAGCATAATGTGTTTTAAAATACTGTGCAGAAACGTACAGTATTTAACTTTCGAAATAGCAACTAATTGGGTCGACAAATATATTTCAAAAGAACGTGCATCTTTTGTTTCGAGCGATAAAAACATTTCCCGCCGTTGAAAAATAATGAAGATATCGATGGATGAAAGTTTTTAAAATCAATTCACTGCAACTTAGTCAAGTGCGAATTGAATTAAATCGACCGTGTTGAGTTTTTTCGAGAAGTCCAAAATGCCTCCAGAAAAAGGTTACCATTCAAAATATCCTCAATAAGAGAAAAGCACACGATACAATCTCAAAACGAATTTGATGTAAATTCAATTCGAGGAATTTTTATTCAAATTTAAAAAAGCGACGCATATTTTGACGAAATCTTCATCGAACCACATTTTCATTCATATCGCTTCAAAATTTTAAATTCAAGCCTCGTCATGACTCATGAGTAACTTCATTGCGTGAGTGCATATTTGTTTCAAATTAATTGATTAATTTTATCGTAATATACATGCAACGATTATTTAAAAAAAAAGAAGCTGAAGCTGAGGCACTACCAAAATGTTAAAGCCAGCTTTAAATTCATTTTGAACGGAACGATTTCATTATTTGGAATAAATTGCAGCAAGTTTTTTTCGTAGCTCACAATCCTACACGAACAAATTCCGGAAATTAATCCCCCCCCCCCCCAAAAAAAAGAATGAATCAGGAGGGCTTATCACCAATTCAAAACAGGAAATTTCATGCCTTTTCCACAGAAAAGAAAAACTTTCCTGGAATTATTTATTAACACACTTTCACTAATGCGACTTTTTTAATGTTTCCTGCTGCACAGGGAATTCGGTTTGAAGCGCATTATCTCCTAAGTACGTCGGAGTCATCATCAATTCGTTGCTAATTCGGAAATCGATCAATCTTGATTAATTCGCAACGATTAGCTTTTCGTTGCACAAAAGTGGAACCACGCAGTTGTAGAAGGCTTGCATATATTTTAGCGACTCGGTGCCACAAGTTATTTTTCACAAGTGCGCATTTTCCACGGGTTATATAAATGAGAAAATCAGCCAAAAATATTTTTTGTTCAGGTGCATCAAATGCTTTAAAAGAAGAAAAACCATCGATCTTGAAAAAAAAATATAAAACCTCAGGTTTCAAAAATTCCAAAAACATCTAAATTTTGAAATTATGGCATTCAAAAATTTTTTCGCACTTTTTTTCCTGATGGGTTAATTTAAAAATGCATAAATAAGTCGACAATTTCGTTCCAAATCTCGTTTTCCGCGGACATATAATTAATTTCGGAATGCGACTTCATTGCAGGAGTTGAGTTTTTAAAAACACCTACAAAATACCATCAACAAGCATGAAGTTCTTCACAAAACTCCTCGTTACACTGATCATCAGTGAACTCTATTTTGCACATGTGGTGAAAGCCGACGACGAAGAAGCAGAAGAAGGTGAAGTTTACATCAGAAAATTGCGCATGAATCATTCTGTTCTTCGCAAAAATTTACCCATCATAAATCTCACGCAAATTCCGTTCCCCGAAAATGATGGCAATCATCACGGATATATGGTCTCATTTCCGTGCATTAAGTTTCTGCACGGGTAAAAAAAATGTATGGATTATATTCAATATACTTGAGATAAAAGTTTCACGCAGAGAATTTTTTTTTGCTGAGAAATGGTACGTCAAGAACAGAAATTACGCAAGAAAATTACAAAAATAGGTGATCAGTCTAAAAAAAAATTCACAAATACTTTACCCTCCAATGAAAGAAAATTATGAAATTGGAAAAATTCTGGGAAAAGTAAAAAAAAAACCCCATGTAATCAAGAACATTATCTCGTAGGAACATTAAAACCTATTTTTCGACACGAAACGCATGAAGGTACAACATTTCATATCTGGTATGGCATCAGTAAAAATTTAATGATTCATGGTAGCTTTTCAAGAAGATTATAAAGTTTGAGAAACATTGTTTCAGGGGAAGGAGGAGAAGAAGGAGGAGAAGAAGAAGGTGGAGAAGCAGAAGGTGGAGAGGAAGAAGGAGGAGGAGAAGGAGATGAAGAAGAAAAAGAAGAAGGAGAAGGAGAGGAAGAAGAAAAAGAAGAAGGAGAAGAAGAAGGAAAAGAAGAAGGAGAAGAAGAAGGAAAAGAAGAAGAAGAAAAAGAAGACGAAGAAAAAGAAGATGAAGAAAAAGAAGATGAAGAAAAAGAAGATGAAGAAAAAGAAGACGAAGAAAAAGAAGATGAAGAAAAAGAAGATGAAGAAAAAGAGGATGAAAAAAAAGAAGATGATGAAGAAGAAGAAGATGAAGAAGAAGAAGAAGAAGAAGAAGAAGAAGAAGAAGAAGAGGAAGAAGAAGAAGAAGAGGAGAATGAATACGACGAATACGGCCACATACTCAACGATTTTTGCCTGTCTCTCTTCATCCCGATTCAACCCCAATATGTCATTCAACCAGATTTCGTAAATATTCCTCAAATTTTAATTTGAACCTATAATTTCCGCTTCTAATATATTTGTCCTCTTCCCCCTTCTCAATGTAGATTCATCCAATTGACGATCCAGTCTTATAAAACGGATTCAATCAACAACAGAAAAAAATCACGCGAAATACAAGAATGATCGTTCTTCCAGAAATTGATTTCATTCCATCATTTTCTTCTCATCTCTATTGGCAACGTGTCAAAAATATTCAGAGAAATTAAATCTTTGAGTCTTGGGAAACACCACGAGAAATCATCAAATTAATGCCAATGAATTTTCTATCAAAAATGATTTCCCAAATTTGAAGCAAACCAGGAATTTAGTCTTATTTAAAAATTCTAATCAGACTTCATAAATTGAAACATATGCGATTCCATCATTTTTATTTTTATTGACTTGACACGTTACCCGTTTTTAATAGAGACCTAAAAACGTCACAAAATTTCAATAACCAAATTCTCTGAACAAATTTTCTCATTAATAGACGATCAATAATTTTTAGAATAAAAAAATAAAATTGTGGCTAAATATTGAACCTTTTTTGCGAAGTCAACTCATGTGCTATTCCTGAAACTCATCCATCATAAATAAAAGCTACGTAGGACTTCTCACAGTTTTTTTTTTCTACTACTAATGAAAGTTATTATAAAGCGAATTCTCAAAATCGAATAATGCAGCCAAAATAACAGGCAATATCATAAAATTTTAAATCCTAAATTGCAAATTAATCATAAGCAACTGAATCCATCAGTGACACAATTTCGTATAAGAAATAATCAAGCTGACACATTTTGGAAGCGTTACACTCAGATTATCAAAGAGCAAAAAAAAAAAAACTAGATTGTCAGCAACGCTTAAGTGCGCCCTGGATCATCCAGTTGATTTGTTGTGACAAATTGACACCATCTCGCTCTAATTTCATTCCCCATTTTCCCATTTATTCCTCAATCCAGTAAAAAGAAAGTGGAAAAATCCTGACAAAAAAGGCAGAACAGGCATGGATAGAGAAAGAAGTGTTTTTTTATGGGTAGCACAGGTCCCAGCTAGTATATAGACCTCCACCAAATTTCCCTTGAGGAAACCTCTGTCTATTTCAGCAGGGGTGAAAAAGCAGTAAAAAAGTACCATCTGAAATCCCATGCTCAAGAAATTTCATAGAATGCTCTGTGAAGGATCTGCCTCTGAGACTGCAAGGAAATGTACAGCAGTTTAACTCAATTGTTCTTATGAATCTCATATTCTCCTTATGAAATTCAAATTTTCCAGATAATGTCAAACAAATTCACTGCAAATGCATAACCATGAAACAGGATTCTCCATTTGAGGATACTCAATACTAAAAAATTATAAGTTATCAAAAGCAATGAGTCCCAAAATAAAAATAAAAATTTTAATGCATGCCTATATACAGTATGATTAAAAATACCCTATAATTTTTAATGAGGAAAGCTCATTATGAATGAATGAACAGAAAACTTTATTTGCCGCTTTTCAGCATTCACAAGGCACAACCAAGACTCCGGCATTTTGGGACTCATTGCTTTTGATAACTTATAATTTTTTAGTATTGAGTATCCTCAAATGGAGAATCCTGTTTCATGGTTATGCATTTGCAGCAGTAAAAGTTTCATTAGAATACAAAAATGAAAGAAGTGAACATGAAATAATATCAACACATTTTTGATAAACCAATCAATTCAACTCAGCAAACTTTTCCTGAAAATAATGTGCTTGATAATAAATGATGATGACAAAGGATTTAAATGTTCAATAATGATCAACTGAAGTGAACTTATAAATTGAGTAACCTTTATTTGTCTTCAAGAAGAGTACATGTGGAATCTTATTTCTGATTCCCAGAATTATGACTTTTTCATCACAAATGGCAAACAATAATAAAAATCCATGCAAGCAAGAAAATTACAATAAATAGAAAGGGGACTAAAATTTTCCTTCAGAACTCTGAAGCCATGTCTTAATCAAAAGCCTTCTCCCATTCTGTTTGAATTTTTCTCAAAATAATCTTTTATCACTTCAAAGCTTCATATAACCCCTTGATTTTATCCATGTAATTGAGATCCACACTCATATTATGACCACAGGTATAACCTAAAGAAATCTTTTCTCTCCTTACAAACAATACCCTCAAATTATTGGTACCTTTGTCTTTTGTCAGAAAATGGTCATTGATGGATGGTGGCACTTGATCAAAGGTTGACTGAACCAAGCATGATTCAAAAGAAAATCATAAACTCCTCTCCCCCCCCCCACAATTTTTCAATGGAAAACAGGAAAGTGAGCATAATTCTGACCAAGAAAAAGGAGGCCCATCCAATATTACACCAGGACAAACAAAGATTCTGACGATAGCATAAGCCCCCTGTTGGGGCTTGTGCTTGATTTACTACCGAAACACGTGACTGCTGTTGAAAAAAGTAGAGGATCCAAACCCCTCTTTTCTTTCTTATCATTCAACCACCTCAAAAAAGAGAGGCAACCCCTCATTAATTATAGACTCCATATAGGCGTTCTTTTTCACTCACAAACGCATCTTTTTTTTTCGGGGAGAAAATTACTAACGCGGTTTGGAAAAGGAATAAAACTACGCCTTATTCGAGTATAGTGGCATTTTTAGGACAGTATAATTATTGAATTTTGTTGATACTCATTCATATAATTTCCTATACGGTGCAAGGGATGTTATGAACAATATTTGCTCACAAATTATGCTTTCTCACCATGATGCAATTGCAATTTTGGTTTGTGCAAAAAAAACCATGCGGTTGGTTTTTTTATAGTAACTTTTTATTTTTCTCCCCCTCTTTCTAAAAGCATTCAAGTATTGCAAAAAAAAGTATTTTCACAATTTTCGGATTCATCCTCTGAAAAAATGAAGTTTTCAATTGTTCTTTTTTTGCTCGGGACAAAAGGTCAATTTTGAAGTTTAATGGATGGACAAAAACTGTCATATTACTCAAAGCTTTTTTTTTGTGTGAGTAAGTTCAGCTCATTTTTATGAGATGTATTTATTTTTACTGAAAATATTCTCAGTTTCCAGAAACATGGCATTATTAGGCCCATTTTGTGGGCTTCCATCAGCGGGAATCTGTCTGGAGATCTGTGTGCAAACTATTATGTTTTATTATGGATAACTTTTAAAAAGCTTTGAAAATTGCCAGGGTTCCAATAAATTTAGTACTCCATATATAGTTCCGAAATTCATCTATCGCCATGTGCGAGGAAACGAGTCGTAATTTCCACGTCGGAGGCGATCATTCTATTCCATGAGGGAAAAAATCGAACCCTCTTCCGGTTGACGGCGAAAAGTACCCCGAAAATCGTACCCTCCCAGTAAGTCCCATAAATTTTCCCTCGAATGACAAATGATTAAACGAAATTGATATATTTTCTATTGCCAGCTAATCGACTGGCTTTCAGCGAGCCACGTGTGACGTGGATTCAGAAGCTTGCACAAGACCTTTCCGCTGTTCATCAGGCAAATAATAAATTTTCGCAGAAATTCCATAGTATTTTTTGTGTGTGTGTGTATATTATTGGAGTGTGATGATAAAACGGACTGAAGAGGAACGAAGGAAGACGACTGCGGAAATGGAAAATTGGGGGGTGAAAAGAGAACATGAAAAATTCATCAGAGTCATTGATCAAACCGGATGAGGGGGAAAATGAAGGTTGCTCTTTTTTTTCCCCCTCAGAACACTTTCGGCCCTCTTGTTCCATCCATTCCGTTTCCAGTTGAATTTTCGCCATTTAAACTTTAAAAAAAAGAAATCATGTAGACCGCTGTAAACGAAAAAAAAAACATTCCATTTGAGGAACATTAATTGAAACTTATAAGGGCATCTTTCGATTGCTGTTTCTATTATTGATAAGAGAGAGAGAGAGTTCACTGCTGTTCTGAAACCAAGGCAGAACTTTTGAGAAATGCTTGTGAGTAAACTTCTCTGTTTATTCCGCATATATAAAGTTACTGAACACATTCATAGTTTATTTGTATTCAAGTTGAATGGAACGGTTGAAGTTTCAGGCTTGAATATACAAGTTAAACATATGCCTTCATCAATTTACTTTCAGTTCTCTGTAGATCCTCAATAGAGGACAGTAAACCAATTTGCAATGTACTTTGCAAACCCTTTCAATGCATCAAATTTACATCATGTTTGCGAGGTTTAATCCTGACGGGGATAGAACTTTCATTGAGCCCACTAGAAGAATGAAAGATAAAATCATGAAATTCCATGAAATTTCAGGTGCACAATTAACAGCAGGAGACATTGATTTTCAAATTTTGAGAAATCACTGACATACAGTGTGCTTTCAAATGTGTTGAAATCAGAGTACCAGAAATACCTCTCATGAATAATCAAAATTACCAGAAGCTGATTACCCTGATGTAAAAAAATGTCTTGGCGCTTTTTTTTTTAGCTATATGCTGGGAGATAATCAGGCTTTTTTTTTCTCCTGCATGTCCTTGGCCCTTGGTTGGTGAGGGTTGGGTTTTCTTCTTTTTTGGGTCAAGGCGCATTTGGAATTGGCCAAAGATTAATGAAACGCAGTTAAAAGTTTTCCAGATGGACAAACATGTATTCCTTTCAAAATTCTGCTATGTTAACCTCAGGTTAAGAATGCAGAAAAAATTTGCAACAGAAATCCTATGCACTAAGAAAAAAAATTACACTTTTCATGGATCAGGGCTGTGTTGATCAATATAGGTGCTTTTAAAATTTGATTTATGGGTACTTTTGGACAAGCAATTTTGACAAAAAACCATAACATCCCAGAAGGGTGAAGAAAAGCACCACCACAATCCATACAAATGTTCCTAAACTGTGGTCCATTTACTGTTGCCAGTCTGCAGAAGTTTTTTTGCCAGTTATTTGCAGGAAGGTTTCTTCTGAATAATACATTATCAATATTATCAATGAATTCTGTTATCTTTATTTTGAATTTTGGAAATCCAATCAAATTTGAAATTATGTGATGAAAAACAGAAGTTGGCTTTTCTTGTACAGTACAAAACACTTGAAACAAAATGTAACATCCTGAAATATTTATTTTACTTTTTTCATACTGAGAAACCTTTCTTCAAGCTAACCATTCCAAGTTTTTGAAGACATTCCACAAGAGCTGCTTCATTCATTCTTGACTTCCTTTATGCAAAATGGAGAAACTTTTCAAATAGCATGCATAAAATCTTTTGAACAAATAAGTTTCAAAATCTTCAAAATTTTATGAAGCATTGCCAGTCTGCAGAAGTTTTTTTTGGATATTTGCCAATCCTCTGGCTCAAAAATGTTGGAGAACACTGATCCATACAATGGATACTGCAGTGCAAAACCTTCACAGGATCTTCTGGTTTTGTCTGTTCCCATCCAAAACACCATCTCACCAAGGCCCTCTCAGGAACTACATTTGAATGGCAGCAATTCCATGGCTCAGAATTGAAAGACAACTTTGAAGATGATGGATGACACTTTCATCTTAGCTGAGCAGAGGCACTTCCACAAAGCCTGATGACCCATTTGGCTAGCAGAGGAATAATGACTCCCCTGATGAGCAGGGATCCTCTTCATATAAACCAGGGGTTAAGGTTAGCTGCAACAATAATGGATCACAGCCTGCTGCTGCTTTCCCCAAGAATAAAGAGGGTTGGATATAAAGAATAGCACAGAACCCACTCATTCAGAATATCCCTGAGTTGCCAAAAAAAAATAAAAGAAACCCCCCTCTCACAAATAGCAATATTCGGACCCAGCATAACCAAGAGTGAAAGATGAAAGCCTTCAGCAGCAATTTCAAGCCATTTCTGCTTATTCCCATGTCCAACTGCTGGGGGGAAAATGGCTCATAAAAGAGCAACATTATGTCTTCCCCCCCCCCTTTTGAACATCATTAGAGGGGGAATCCTCTGCATTTTATCCTTTTGCATGAGTCTTTGTCATGTCTGTTTTTCTTTTTTATGGGTTTTTTTTTCGCTTTTCTATGGTTGTCTACTGGTGAATGCCGGTCGTGTCCGAAAGGCATCTATGCATGAACCGACTTGACATGATACTATAGGGAATGCATCACTAGCTGATGGGCGCATTGTTCCCGTACTTTCTCACACTGTGTCCTCACTAAAAAAAACAACATGCACATTTAAAGCACTTCTGAAAAATTCCAAAACTAAAGTCAGCAGTAAATGTGCCAAAAAATTCTCACGTGAAATAAAAGAGATTTTAAGCAATGAATTTCAATTGATCATTTGGCACCCTAGAGTAATATATGCGTTCTTGAGAATGCCAAAACAGGAAATGGGGTATGGTTTTTATCCTGGGTTTTGTCTTAGAAAAGCAGTCCTTTTATTAAATGAACTAAAATCTGCTACCTGTCATTTTGGAAAGTTTAGAGTTGAAACATTTTTCAACTGAGTTCTCGAGTTGAAGGAACCAGCAGAATAATTTTTTGGAAAAATAAGAATTACAGGGCGATAATTTGGACTTTTTAAATTTAAAATTTTTTTTACTTGTATAAACAGCTTTTCAAATGAGTTGAAAGGATGTAGAAGTTGAAGTTCAGGGAATATTTGAAAAAGTACAATCAATTCACGTTAAAAAAGCTTTTCAAATTATCAAAGGTGAACGTATATTTTTTGAACTTTTAAATCCGCTCCTTGGTGTGGCTTTTTTTTTCCTAAAAATTCTGTTACACCCTTTACTTTAATGATTGTTCAGGGAGTTTCAAAACGGAAGAAATAAATAAACAAGTGAGGAAAAAACTGGGGAGCGTCAAAAGTAGCAGCTGCAATTCATTCTTTTCCGGGGGTTCAGACAAACAAGGATCCCCTCCAAAGTCTCCCCTTGCTTCCCTCGTTGAAAAAAATACACATTCGGATCCTCAAATTAAGGGATCCCTTCGCACACCAAAAAAAGTTACTGTTCACGAGATCCTCCAGAGAGACCAAAAAAAAACTGAAAAAATCCACGAAATTCCTCTATCCATCCATTCATCCCTTGATGCGTTTATAACGAACAAAACACCTGGAAAAATAGGGAGAAAAAAGGGGGTATTCTCAGGGGGTATATGTATGATGGTAACATGTATAAAGGGAAGAAACGTAATGCTCAAGCCCCATCACCGCACAGAGACGGGTGTTCCTTTTGTCCACGTTTATTTGCCGTAAAGGCCTGCACGCAACATGGTGTGTCAAAAAATAAATAAAAGAAGGCGCAGAAGTGGCTTACTGGCAATAAATCATCTTCAGCAACTCTGTTTTCAAAGTTTTTTTTTTTTTATGATACATGTGAACACTCATGCAATGTTCTTGGCTGCCCGAAATTCAGATGCTCTAGAAATCGTAGGATATTTTACGGGAGGGCAGAATTTTCCTTGAATTTAATCTTTCAAATTTTGTAAAAAAAAAAAACGTGTTACAATACTGGTCGAAACGATCAAATTTCTTCGAGTGAAGCTCAAATGAGGGACGCATGAACATTTTTCAGCTGAGTTCTCGAGTTGAAGGAACCAGAATATTTTTTGTGGAAAAAATAAGAATTACAGTGCGATAATTTGGCCTTTTTAAATTTTAAATTTTTTTAAACTTTTTAAACAGCTTTTCAAATGAGTTGAAAGGATATTGAAGTTGAAGTGCAGGGAATATTTGAAAAATTACTCGCTCACTTTGCATTGAAAATTATCATGTATAATTTCTTATTTTATTTTATTTATTTGAGGATCCTCAGAATAAAATGAAAACGCCTCCAGAAAATTTGAGTTACTTGATATTGTTTATGTGTACCAAAAATCGACGACTTCATGAAAACTAAGAATCATTTCAATGTCAAGAGAAAGAAAATTTGAATATTAAGTGCTATAGAAGGACGCCACCAAGAGGCTTCAAAGTTCAGTTGTAATTTTTATGATTTTTGTTTCCTTTCAACGCAAAATTCCGCATGGTTTGCGCCGGTCATTCTTTTGGAAAATAAAAGGGGAATTTTGATTTCATTCAATTTTCTATTCATTAATGCAGACCCAAAATTGAAAACGGAAACCATGAAAGCAGCCTCCCAATACTGTAAAGGCTTGCCATAAATTGCAAAGTAATTGATGCCCCATTTTTGCTTGTCGACGAATAATTCTACTCATTCACCATATTTTCGGACATTTTCCCTCCACCCCTGCTGCAAAACATTTCCTCGAAGAATTCCTCGCCATAATTTCGGAATCAAAAATTCATTTTATTTGAATGATCATCCGACGGAATCAAGGGAAACTCGAACGCGTCGTGAAATTTTGATGCTGAAATTGCGATAAGATGCAATTTCAAGGGAAACTTCCGCACCGTACATTAGAGTTGTATCTGCATTCAAATTCGCAGCAAATGCGCCCGATATTTGCAACGATTCGTATTTTCAGTATATATATATGCAAGAAATTGCCTTCCGTTTAATGAAAATGGTCATAGTATATACTGTATATATAACTGCGATTTCTACTCGATGTTTTGCTTCCTACCTGTTATGTTTCCGGCTCGAATAAAATTGCAAATATTTTTGCGAGCGCAAAAATAAATTTCTTTGGGCAAAGAGTTTGCGTCAGAATTTTCTCTCTGTCTTATTCTCAAGTCTGTTTCTCCTCATCGTCATGCAAATTATTTTCCTGGAATCGCTCTCGTAACAGGAATATAGGGCTCTCTTCCAAGAAGGTCATGTCTCTTCTCATATCAAAAGATTTAACAAGTTTTTTTTGTGAAAGAATGTCAGTACTGTCTGCAGATAACGTGAAAGACCCGTTAAAATCAAATTCAGTGCCGAGTTTCTTCCTGAAATCGCAATGGATGACCTTTCCTGGAAGACGGAGCATTTTATGCTATTAATCAAGCAAAACTGGTTGGCAAGGACTTTTTTCCTCCAAAATGGGAAAATTGCGTATTTGCTGATGACTTGATGAAGGCATAATTTTTGAAAATTTTTTGAAACATGTTGGTGGGTTGCCTTCAAAGCTTAATTATAAAAGTGGAATAAAAAAAATTGGAACTTTTGAGCAATTTCCGAAAACCCATATTTCACACATGAGGTTTCCAAGTATTTTTAACTAGACTCAATCGGCGAGCAAAACTTTTTCAAGACCGGTTTTTTTGGAGATTTTTTTCTTGATCATCACACGTGATAAAAATCTTGTTAAAACTTAGAGAACAGTTTTTTTTACATTTGCAGGCCCAAACTCGTGTCCAGAAATATTTTTCGCATAGAGAGGGAAACATTCGAAAATGTTTGATCTTACTGTAAATATTCAGTAAAGGATTTTCCGAAGATATTAAGAGTCTTGTGGTAATATTCTTGAGAAACCTAAAAAACAGACTACTGCATCATAAAATTGATCAAAAAAATGAAATTTTTGAGAAATGAATCACAAATACCGTTTTGTACCATGGACAGAACGAAACTCACCCAAAAACCATTTTACAAATACATACGAATATATTTGTATGCAGCGACCGTCACTTTTTGCCAATTTTTCTCAAAGGACTTCAATCTCCTCAGCTGTGATTAAATTCTCATTCAAAGGAAGAAACAAACTTTCGAATCGCCCCACGAAAAAACAAACAAACTTGAAAGCAAGTGGATTCAGAAGGCAATCGTTCATAAATCCCCAGTGGAAAAAAACCCCCTGGTGGATTTCTTCCTCTCTCTCTCTCCCCCCCAGCACTTGCATCAATTGTTGATGCATCAGGTTTATTTATTTATTTTCTTCATATACCGCCTCGGGGGGAAAGCCGGCAAAAACCAGCTGACGAGCGTGGGTGCAACGGAAGAGGGACTTTTCTGTCCTGCTTGATTGCAGGCCAATTGACAACAGCCTGGAATTCTGCTGCATAGTAAATTACCTAATGCGGGTTAATCCGGATTATTCCATGGCTTAGTATCGATTTTTTCTTCATCTTTGACATGGTGGAGGGGGGAAATCAACAGGGAAACGCGGGATTTTCCTCGCTCCTGCTTCCGACACTGACATCTGACATATTCCAGATATACTATACGAAGCGAAACAATCCGGGATAGCAATCTTGTTATTACAGCGAATTCATCTTATTGCGAAGCGCAGCAGGGTTATTTAGCATTTTAAATAAATTCGCTTTTTTTCATCTGCTTGCGTTTCAACGAAAAAGTTCATTTGCGAATAATGCTCAAATTCGTGTTATAAGCTGAAGATTTGGAAAAAAACAAACCTTGAATTAAATTTACGCACTGCTGCTGGAGATTTTAAAAATATGCGGTATTCAGGATGTTTTCATAAAATTCTGTGAATACAGGAAAAAAAACGGATTCCGCGTTTAAGAGATTATTTTTGTAGTTGTCCTATTTTGAATACAAGACATGTGAAGGCTCTTGAAGTGACTGGAGTGACTCCATCCAAGTGACTGGATATGGAAAAAACCTTACCATCAAAAATAAAATGCACATCATTTAGCCACCAATAGTACTAGTTCAGGATAAAGGTATCCATTGAAACCCCCGCTCTATATATTCTAAACATTTTCACATAGCAGAATGCCTAGTTAAGAAGTGGAAGAATGTGGGAATTCCTTTTTTCCTGAAGTTTTAGTCAATGCAATGGCAATAAGTGGCTGCATTTCATTTGGCAAATTGTGATAACAGCAAGCCATTACAGTGGTGAGTTGTTGCAGCGGCAACTTCCACCTGCGGTGACTTAACGGCAAGTTAACACTGCAGCAGGTTGTGACAGCTGCAAGTTGTGACAGTGGCAAGTTCAACTGCCTGCGGCAGGTTCGGTGTGTGGCCAGTTAGGAAGCGGCAAGTTTAACCAACACGGAACAACTTTGCTGTGACTCAAGATACAGACACTTTTCTCAGATTTCTGGAAGAATTTTAAACAAACTGTTCTTCTAATTATAAAAAAATAGAAATCGAGCTACATTATTTACATTCACAGATGATAAAAATAAATTTCATGCTAGAATCCTCATGAAANTTTTTCTTCATCTTTGACATGGTGGAGGGGGGAAATCAACAGGGAAACGCGGGATTTTCCTCGCTCCTGCTTCCGACACTGACATCTGACATATTCCAGATATACTATACGAAGCGAAACAATCCGGAATAGCAATCTTGTTACAGCGAATTCATCTTATTGCGAAGCGCAGCAGGGTTATTTAGCATTTTAAATCAATTCGCTTTTTTCATCTGCTTGCGTTTCAAAGAAAAAGTTCATTTGCGAATAATGCTCAAATTCGTGTTATAAGCTGAAGATTTGGAAAAAAGCAAACCTTGAATTAAATTTAAGCAATGCTGTTGGGGATTTTAAAAATATGCGGTATTCAGGATGTTTTCATTGAATTCTGTGAATACAGAAAAAAAACCGGATTCCGCATTTAAGAGATTATTTTTGTAGTTGTCCTATTTTGAATTCATTTAGGAGACATGTGAAGGCTCTCCAAGTGACTGGAGTGACTCCATCCAAGTGACTGGATATGGAAAAAACCTTACCTTCAAAAATAAAATGCACATCATATAGCCACCAATAGTACTAGTTCAGGATCAAGGAATCCATTGAAACCCCTGCTCTATGTATTCTACACATTTTCACACAGCAGAATGCCTAGTTAAGAAGTGGAAGAATGTGGGAATTCCTTTTTTCCTGAAGTTTTAGTCAATGCAATGGCAATAAGTGGCTGCATTTCATTTGGCAAATTGTGATAACAGCAAGTCATTACAGTGGTGAGTTGTTGCAGCGGCAACTTCAACCTGCGGTGACTTATCACTGCGGCAAGTTAACACTGCAGCAGGTTGTGACAGCTGCAAGTTGTGACAGTGGCAAGTTCAACTGCCTGCGGCAGGTTCGGTGTGTGGCCAGTTAGGAAGCGGCAAGTTTAACCAACACGGAACAACTTTGCTGTGACTCAAGATACAGACACTTTTCTCAGATTTCTGGAAGAATTTTAAACAAACTGTTCTTCTAATTATAAAAAAATAGAAATCGAGCTACATTATTTACATTCACAGATGATAAAAATAAATTTCATGCTAGAATCCTCATGAAATTGAATTAATTCATAATACCCTAATTCATAATCAAAAACAGGCTAATTTTGTGCTTATTTTTTGCAGTTTTTTCCCCATGTGTGCTCTTGTTAAATTTGTTTTACGCGTTTCTTGAGCTCCTTATTCTGATGCCAAAAGATAAGAATCTGTTTGCTTTTCTTCTGTTCATTCATTTTCTGCATCTAAAAGTTTCAAAAAAAAAAGTTATTCAACTTTTCGGGAAGGGTGAGGGGGGCTTTTTAAGTATTGGATAACATGAGCTAGAGCCAATTGAAAATATTCCTATTGATGAATTCATGCGGATGATCCAACATAAGGACATGCTTCATCGGCCAATTCTGTCCATATCTTATGGTCCCATATTATTTTAACACGTTTTTATTAACTCACTTTCTTGTCCATTTGTTTGTCCAGATCAAATTTTGCAACTCAAATTTTGCTCACTTCCCGACTAGCTAGCAAGCTGAAACTTTCAGGATAGCTTAGAAACTGATGACAATGCAATCTTTTGTGAAAAGAAAAATTATAAGATTATTTTTTAAAAGAGCAAAAAATAACCTTAAACGTGGTGTGCATGGAGATTGTTGGGAAGAAGTGAAATACAAATGAAATAGATGCGCACCACGTTTAAGGTTATTTTTTGCTTTTTGAAAATGTGGTTTTTTAGATTAATTTTATAATCTACTAAATTTTTTTGCACTTCAGGAGCGCTACTTCAGTTTTCCTCAAAATGGTGCCACAAACCATAGAAAAAAATTATATATACACACACAAGAAAAAAAAGATAAAGACAGGAGCAGGAAACACCTGGAGTATAAGCAGACACACACACACACACACACACACACACACACACACACGAAAAGGAACGAAACGAAACCAAGAAAAAAAGAAGAAATGACGATAACAATTTGACCAAAATATGAGAGGCAAAGAAAAATGGCACCATAGCCAGGAACAAAAATAAATCCCATTTCCATTCCCAGTCTTGATCATCATGATGAATGCCTCGGGAAGCATATTTGTGTCACCCAGGAGGCACGCAATCCATATAAACCGCACTCGGGAACACCCAGCAGCAGAGCATGATTGAAGACTCCCTGCCGCGCCTGTAGCAGTGCTGGAATCCTCTGGGCGACAATTTCCTGCACTGATCCTGCTATGGGCACTTCTCTCCATCCATGCCTATTTTTCCTCCAGATTTTTTTTTTTTTGGTGTGTGTTTGTGTCTATAGTGGTTGTTGTTGGACAAATAGATATGATTTTCTGCTAAGGCTCTTGGTGGTGGTGGTGTGGGCTGTTGTTAGCCCCCGCGGTGGTGGCCTTTTGACAGCACAGAGTTGCCAGCTGATTCATTAAGCCTTGGGTGGTGGAGCCTCTGCTGAAGGGTGTTACTCTTCTCATTTTTTATTTATTTTTGAATGGGCCAAATTTTTCGCTCAGTGAGGGATCAGATGAAGGCAAATAATATTCAGCATTCTGGAAGTTCGAGATTGTTGAAGTGAATGTTTTTTCAGTTAGCGGTTATAGTGATTAAAAATACTAGCAGCAAAGAAAAGATTTTTCTACAAAAATTTTTCACTATAGGCAAATCGAAATAAATAAAAATTTGTTATTTCAGGTGTGCCAAATGTTTTTCTGAAGGATACAGAAAAAGCAAAAACTCATCACCCTACCAAGGGCGTGGAAGAATGATGTGAAAATGTTCAACTTGATGATTCCAAGTTTTGAAATCTTTTTTGAGAAGCCGGGATTTTCTTGCAATATGCAAGGATGAGTATATAGACACTTTGAAATTGAAATAAATATTGAAGTGGGGAGCATAACACAAGCCTGCAAAAATGTGTACACCTTTTTTCTGCACACAAGAATTTTTTCAAGCAAAAATATTTTAAAAATCTCTTGAGGCTGTTTGTTCTTTTCAACCTTCAGCCAAAGGAATGAATTCTGGTTGCAGTGTCGAATATGTCCAATTTTTTCCATTGGCTTATCCAAAGATTTTTGGACTTCAGCCACTTCATTCAGGTGTTTGCTCTTCTGACCTTGGGTTAAGCTGAAATGCTATAGCCAGCAAAAAAAAAATCCTATCATTGTGGTGCAGAGTAATGGAAGGAAACACCCCTTCCAGTGAAATAAAGTAAAACTGTCAAATCTGGCTTTTAATAGATTGTCATTAAAAAAACAGGTCATAACACTTCTTATTTCATGAAGAATTTTCAAATTCTCGAACATAATGCACTTACTGCAGGCAGCAGTCAAATCATTCAACTCTATTTGTGGGAATGTTGTTTATACCTCAACAAATGAAACCTTTCAACTTATGTAGCATATTTTTTTTTCAAACAGGGAGTCAGATTATTTTAATTGAAAACATCAAAGATTTCTTTACATTGCTTCAAAAAATGATCTCTTCCTGCATGTGTTCCTTTAATTCGAAATACTCTGAGAAAAACTGTGCACAACACAAAGTACTCCAAAAATTTTCAAGTT